TCAAGAAGATAAGCTCACAAATAAACGCATGTTATCAGGCCTAACAAACAGAAACGACGTGTTTTCTTATTGTCTGTTGCATCTATGAAATAGTGTCATAGTTCTCTTTTTCTTTGTCTTATTGATTCAAAATATCACTACAAGTAAACGTGACAAAATCCTTTAAAAAACCAGGAGAAATCAGGAGAAAATCATAAAAATCAGCTCCTGGATTCAGGAGATTTTTTCATCAGGAGAAAAGTCTAAAAATCAGGAGTCTCCTGGCTAAATCAGGAGATTTGGCAGCCCTGGTGAGTACATAAAAAAATTGTCATTCACATTCTTAATTCATAGATCGATCAAGTATTGTTTTCTGAGTAAAAAAGTAAGATTAAATTGTTTCTAATTAAGATGATCTTGAATATAGTTGATTATCTTATTACAATACTATAATAATGTATCTTGTCTTGAATAGGAAAAGTTATTTGTCTGTGTCTAACAATGAATGATCGATATTTGCCCTTTCCCTTCTCTGTATGAACTCTTCATCATAGTGCTGACCTTAATCAATACGATCTTTTCTCTTGTCTTCCATCCTGACAAAATAAGGAAGCGTTTTTTAAACTTTCATCACAATATACACTTATATTATTATTTGTAAATAATAATATTTTCTTTTTTAGATTGAATAACAGATAAATATTTTATAAAAAGCCTAAGTTGTTTGTGAGTTAATCAAAATAATACAGATAGTATGATTCGATTTTCTAAGATATAAAATCCTATGAATATTTTCTTCTTACAATGAGCCTACAAATTTGAAGACTTAGGATTTCCCTGAACACAAAATACGGCGTGTTCCATGGATAACCTACTAAAAAGAAAAACGTTTATCTCTATTATACTTAAGCTTACTGAGCTAATCTTTTTTCTGACAGTAGAGAAGAGTTTCAAGTTTTTGTTTGCAAAGATAAAGTTTACGAATGATACTGAAAACCACTACTATTGGCTTCAACACCAAATTGAAGCCTTTTTCGGTATGGTAAAACAGTATACAACATTTTTTATTTAGTTATTTCAGATTTTGTTCTTAATTTTCGACTTCAAACTATCTAAGTCTTTCACACTTGTTCAATAAACCTTCTTTTGAACATTTTTCAATGAAAAAAAAAGTTAACGATACATTCCTACAGAATAATATGTCTCCGCAACGATGAAACTATTGATCATTGATGAACTGCAAGAGATGAACGATTTGAAATCCTGCGCAGTTGTCAAGCTTTACATTATAAGATTTCTTCTTATGAGAAAACATCCGAACAATTATTTATAAAGTAAGAGATGAAGATCTGAGTAATTTAAAATCAAAAAATTACGAAAAAAGTTGAAATAACTAAATAAAAAGTTTTGTATACTATTTTACCATACCGGAAAAGGCTTCAATTTAGTATTGAAGCCAATAGTAGTTATTTTCAGTATTATTCGTAAACTTTATCTTTGCAAATAAAAACTTGAAACTTTCCTCTAACATTCGAAAAACAAAAATCAGCTCAATGGATTGAAGTACAGTGAAGATAAACGATTTTCTTTTTGGTAGGTTATTTCTGAGACCCCCCGTAGAAACATCAAACATACGAGAATAAAATAATCAAGAATTCATCGGTCATATTTGTTTGATAAAAAAAACTATAATAATTGGTCGTTTTATTTTTTGGATAGAAAGAAATTATCCATTGAATTTAAAATGTTTAAACTGATATATGGATCAAGTTAAACGAAAATTATCCTTTAATCAATCATCAAAAGAAGACATAAAGAAGTTACGAAGTAAATTATTCACATACTCGATATAAACTGTTTTTTTTTGTATTCTCCACCTCTATTATTTAAAATTCATATTGATGCTTCAAAATATAATGAAGTCTGTACGAATACCTATAAATAATTTCTCCTTTTTAATAGGCATAAAATACTCTCCATGAATGTATGGCCACCCAGTGAAAAATATTCATAGTAAAATCACGATTATTTTTGACTAAACAGTATGAAAATCTCAAATTTTCAACGAAATTTCCAATTTTTGAAGGAAATTGGATTAAAATTGATTCAAATCTTTAAATCGGGATGTGAGTGTGGTGGGGTGTGGGTCAGTTAAGAGCAGATCAACACCCATACCCACCCACACCCACACCATTTTTCGATAAAATAGTGATCATCAATTGTGACATCGTCGTCTTGGTATTTCGTTGTAGTATTACGAGGAGTCACGATCGTTATTACACTAGAGTCGAGATCAAAAGCACATCCACAGCATACGGAAGGCAAAAGATCGAAATAAAAGCCTTTTTCATCCACAATTCAGTCCATGAGAATGAATCTGATTTTTGTCTAATTGGTATTGCAGTTATATCGAACACCGTCAATACCAGCATATTTTTTGAATGTTGAAAGAAATTCACGATACATTAGCGTGTAGGTAATATGCACTCTCGCCTATTCTCATAATAAATACATAGATAAGCAATAGAAGAAATGAAAAAAAAATATGAAGAACAACAAATCAAGTTGTGCACATGATCGAGAGTAAATATGCGTCGCTAAAAAAAACTCAAGTAAAATAAATTACATAAAAATGCGTGCTGGTATGTGTGTGTGCTTTACTTTCTTGCTTCTTACTCTCTATTCGTTAACTATCAAAAGTGTGAAAGAACTATAAGGTATATATGGGCATGGCCAGTCGCATTGAAACCCCAAGATATAGGATAGGAAATGATATTATTCCAGGGAAGAGTATATAATGAATTTTATGCCAAATGAAAGCTCGTCAAAAAACAGGATTTATTGGCACTAAATGTGACGATTTCTGATGTTCTAGATGCTACTGAAGAGCTAGTATGCGTACGCCTTTATTCGTATATTAAAAATCGTCCTATACTGTATTTTCCTCGTCTCTTATATACTATCTCATAGCACAATACTTTCTTGGAAAATACAGTCAATATAGAAAAAGACCAATATGGAAATACACATAAAAGGTACATATAAGGAAGAAAAGCGATAGATGTGCATATGTGGAAAGGAAGAGGTGGAAGTATCTATATGAAAAGGAAACGATGGAAATACATATGTAGGAAGAAAGAGGAGGAAGTCTCTATATGGAAAGGAGGGAGTAGATGTACGTAAGCGAGAAGAATATAAAAAAAGAACAAGATAGAGAATGCATAAGAGGTAGACAGAAGCATCATGATCATCTCGATCGAGAATAAGCAACAACTACACATTTCTGTTGGATTATTACACTAAACAGTAAAGGTTTTGTGGACTTTGTAATGTCGATCTTCAGAAGTTTTGAGAAATTTCACACATTTTCAGCATAGAAAACTAAGGCATCAATTATATATGGATAAAAGACAGTAGGTTTTTCCATAAAATTAGCTATCTTCATTATTTTTACTATCTCATATGTATTGAAACATATTCAATAGATGCAGCGTAGAAAATTGAATCAAATAAGTGTATTTCGAAACATGTGAGATAGAAAAAATAATGAAGACCGCTAATTTTATGGAAAAACCTACTGTTCTTTGTCCATATATAATTGATACCTTAGTTTTTTATGCCGAAAATATGTGGAATTTCTCAAAACTTCTGAAGATCGACATTACAAAGTCTACAAAATCTTTACTGTTTAGGGCTAATAAATCCTGTTTTTGGCAAGCTTTCATTTGGTATAAAATTCATTATTTACTCTGCCCTAGAATAATATCATTTCCTATCCTAAATCTTGGGGTATCAACACGACTGGCCATGCCAATATATTTGACATATAGAGTTGATTCAATTGAGTATTCAGTTTCTTTTTGTGTTCAATATTTTCATTCGAGTCAACGCGCAATGCCTCCTTCTTTTTTTAAATAAATTGTGAAATGATTTAAGATGACTGAGCAACAGGGATTTGTATACATGGATGAAACGTCAATCGACGATGAATTTAAATGTTTAATTTGCAATGAACCATTTGAAAAGCCGGTCTGTACACCCTGTGATCATACCTTCTGTCGATTATGTATCGAGCAATGGTTACAAAAGAACACTAGTGAAAATAGATCATGCCCAACTTGTCGTCACTTATTATCGATAGACAATGATTTGAAACCGGCCAGTCGTACTATTTCAAATCGAATTGATCGATATCTAGTGAAGTGTTTGGCATGTGAACTTGATAAAATTCCACGTGGCTTGTTTTCGGATCATGTTTCCAAAGTGTGTATAAAAACAAATATTTCTTGTTCGGCATCTGATATTTTATGCCCTTGGATCGGACCACGAGATCAATTAAACGATCACTTACAATCATGTTCTTATCAACAAATGCGTCCAATATTAGAAATCATTCAAGCTAAGAATAATCGTCTCGAACAACTAATTAATGATCAACAACAACAGATCACAAATATCAAGGAACAATGTCAATCGCAACAACGTCAAATTGATGAATTAACTACAATAATCAAAGCTTTGAAAGGTATGTTGAGAATTCGAAACATGTTACGTGATTATTTATTACAGATCATAACGATATTTCAATAAAGCGAATGCTTGCCTTCGAGGATTTGGTCGGACCACATGTCGATCTGGATTCGTATCATCCTATTCCTTCTAATTATGCTGGTTTTAAATGGTGTAATGGTGCCTTTATGCCTCGACAGCATGGCGAAACACGTTATCCAAATACTGGTTTTGACACTGTTTTTAAACAAGGTCAAAAATGTGTCGCATTCAATTTCGGTTGTCAACCAATGACTATGCGCGATTGTCGAAGTACATTTTGTATTTTATCATTTGAAGCGACATGTGCCTTTCAAGATGAAGTTATTTTAAACGTCACAAGTCGACGTGCGGGAAAGACAATTCAAACAACCACGTTCATACTTCATTACAAGAAATTGAAGATGTTTAATTTGAACTGGAACAATATTGATGAACTAGAATTTTTGCCTACAGGTGGCAAGCAACTTCCAACATCCACTGACACCGACAAACACGTGATCTTGACATGTCTAAATTTCGGTTGAAGAACAACAGTATACCCTTAAGATTATCTTCCATCGAAACATTAATAAATTAAAGCAACATGTAATTGATTCTATTTGAATTTTGATTTGCATGTTTAGATATCATTCGAAGTT